TGCCCTTCAATACCACAGTGATGGCACTTTCCCTTCTTCCCGGCGAACCTGGCTGAACCCCCAGCCTCCTGCTGGTGTCCCCCGTCCCCAACGAAGGCGTTTCCAGCCGATCTGACTGGTTTTGAGTTCTCCTTGCGCCTAGCTTCTTCATTCAGAAGTCTGGCGTCAAGAACTCCATGTCTAAGTTGTCCGCCCTGCTTTCGAGGCTTGTGATGACTTGTTCGTAGTTGTTTGGTAAGCTGTATATCAAGGTCGTCATGATATCATCCTCGGGCACCGGTGCACCGTTAGCCTCCAGCTGTTGTGCTAGCTGTCTGTCTTTGTTGATGTGGTTTGTGATCAAGTCTGACTCATTCATAGTGCTGGTTAGGAACTCTTGATGTAGGAAGAGCTTGCTGCCAAGCCCCTTTTGTTCGTGCACCTCAGCTACATAAGCTGAGTGTCGTTCAGACTGAGGCAGATGTAAGCCAAAGCCATCTCGTCCTTCCTCTCCATCGACTCCTCCTCCTCCCCTTCAGCCCCTTTTCCCTTCGACAGGCTTGCTGTAGCCGTATCTCCTTCCTTCTCCTTCTTCCCAGCTTCCACTGCCACCCAAAGTCCCTTCGCCTTCAACATCATCATCATCTTAAACTTCCATAGATGGTGATACTCGCCCGTGAACTTATCCATCTTAAGTTTCGAAGTCTCTGAGTCTCCAGCCATTTATGTGTTCGAGCTAAAGTTGTGTGTTTCGGGTGTGTGGACGCGTTTTGGATGATGCTGTATTGTTGGACGCGTTTTGGGTGTCAAGTAGTGCGTATCTTGTCGAGGTGAGCACTTTGGTGCGTTTTCGGTCAAAAATTGGTGATTTTGGAACGATATGTCGAGTGTAGGGCGTAGGTAGCATCCGTAGGGGGTTGGGAACGTCTTGAATAGGATTGGCGAAGACGGTTTTAGTGATGATAAAGCTCAGGGCTCATAACCTATTGAAACCTTAGCTGATATAGGTGTATCTGAGAGGTCACTAAGACTGGTTCGCCGATGACTGAGAGACGTAGCTGCCCAAAGAGCAGTGTTGTGATGTAGAAGACAGTACTGTGGCTAGAGTAGTGCGATAGAAAGCTGTGTATTGAAGAGGATAAAGTGAAGAGAGGGGATGGGCAACAGGTCTGCCTTTTATACGAATCTGGGGCTTCTTTCTTGGGGATTTACCTATGTGCTGGGGCGTCCAAAGCACCCTCTGAGACCCCCTCAGCTGACTGACAACGGAGCACAAGTCGAGTTTTCGAGTGCAGAATGCACAATCAAGACCAGGGACGGCGCTCTCGCCTTCAGAGCTCTCAAGGACAATGACCTGTACACCCCGCAACAGCAATACTAAGGTTTGTCAATGCTGTGTACCCCATGGTCACCTGCTGATGCCCAACTGAGATCCAGGTCCACCTAGCTGAGGAACAGGCTCCATTGCCATCGGAACATACGGGGAGCATCTCGGCACCCTTTGAAACGTCTGATTGGTTCCCAAACTCGAAAAGAACCTCATCTCAGTAGCGCAGCTGACTGAGAACGGAGCACAAGTCGAGTTCTTGACATTGACAGCAGCGTGCACAATCAAGACCAGGGATGGTGCTCTTGCCTTCAGAGCTCTCAAGGAGAATGGTGTGTACACCATGACAGCCCAGGCTATCCCTGAACACGCCTACTCAGCAGGAGCACTTTGTAGCACACCCTTTCATATCTGGCATCAGAGACTCGGTCATCCGAATGCCCAAGACCTCCAGAAGCTCACCAACAGCTACCAACGTGACATCAGAGTCACCGGACATCCTGATGGCCACATCTGCGAAGTCTGCACGCTCTCCAAGCAGTCCAGAGCTCCCTTCCCGAAGAAACAAGCTACCCGAGCCACAGAAGTCCTGGCGCTCGTCCACACTGACCTCTGTGGCCCCATGAGGACGTCTACCTTTGGGGGATGTACCTACTTCGCATCATTCATTGATGACAAGCCCAGAATCGTCTGGGTCAAGCTCCTACTCAAGAAAAGCGATACCTTTGATGCATGGGAGGAATACAAGGCTCTTATGGAGAAACAGACCGGGAAATCCATCAAAGTCCTCAGATCGGACAAAGGAGGCGAATACAAATCCATCCAATTCACCCTCGCACTCAGAAAGGCTGGAATCCAACATCAGCGCACTGCTACCAACACCCCACAGCGGAGCGGAGTAGCGGAACGTATGAATCGAACTCTAGTCGAAATGGCACACTGCCTACCCACCCAGGCTGGTCTTGGACACGAGTACTGGGGAGAAGCGCTGCTTGCAGCTGTCCACATTAGGAATCGCTGCCCTACGGTTGCCCTAGACAAGTCCAAGACGCCATACGAAGCCTTCTTCAGTTGCATGTCCATCCTCCTTCATCTCAGAGTGTTTGGATGTATAGCCTATGCTATGGTTCTCAAGAAAAACCGAGGAAAGCTGGACAACAAAGCCAAGAAGTGCCTCTTTCTCGGTTATAGCTCTTCCAGCAAAGCCTGGAGGCTCCAGTCACTCGAACCCGATGATCAGGGCGCCATTATCGAATCAAGAGATGTCCAGTTCAATGAACAAGTTCAACAACAGCCTGGACAACGAGGATACGCATGAAGACACGTCAGATCGCTCCTATGACAGCTTAGCGAGCTTTGAATTCCATCCTGAGCCTGACAGCATCGTTTCGCACGCACCCAAGCCCACAGACAACACCAAATTACGCCCGCACGCTGCAGGGGGGGACTCTGAGCTCCCTGACGAGTAATAGCCGTGGAGTTGGCAATCTTGCGGGCGCTCTGATTATCGATGTGGATGTGCGTGGGGTCCTTGATGTTGCCGTATTTGTCGCTGAAGACCTCCGCCATGATCGAGCAGAGCCAGTAGACCTCGTTGTACCCAAGGGCTGCGGCGATATACTCAGCTTCCGTGGAGCTGAGAGCTACACACTTCTGCTTGGTGCTTTTCCAGTAGATAAGCTGGTCGTTGTGTTGTTGACATCGTCTGCGTATGATGCCTCGGTATAGATACAAAGTCCAGCTTGATCAGAATGACCGGACTTGTAGGTAAGCTCGAAGGTGCGGGTACCTTTAAGGTAGCGCATGATGCGAAGTACATCATTCCAGTCAGCTTGAGTAGGAGCTGGGACCTGATGTGGGACGTAGCCGACGGCAGTTGAAATATCCCAGCATCAGGTAATGGATGCCCACGTGAAGGCCCCAAATGCTTCCTGGTAGAGAAGCTTGTTGGTAAAAGGGGGACTGGCAGAGGCGGGTCAGTTACGCGCTGACACAGCGCACGGGGTGGAGGCTGGGGTAGCGTTTTGTTGTCCAAATCTTTTGAGTAATCCATCGATATAGGTAACGTTGCTGCATCTGAGGCAATTGCCTGACGGCAAAAGCTTGTAATCGTATACGAGACCAAGGCAGTTCTTGATGGGACCGAGGTCCATACAGTTGAAGTGAGAACATAGTTCACCTTTGACTTGTCCGATGTAGATGGGTCGACACATGGCAACGATGGCGTCCACATAAATAAGAAGGATTTGGATGGTGTCCAGGGTACGCGTGATTGCCGCGTAGCCATAGAACATGCAGGGGTAGTTATTCAGCATTTTGTAGTTGACGGAACCGAGGGTTTCGCGAAGGGTGCGGTACCAGAGAAGCGGGGACTGCTTCAGACCGTATGAAGCCTTGCCGAGGAGGTGTACCCAGTCTCCGCACGGATGGGGTGGATCTTCGGAGCCTTGAAATTGTTTGACATAGATGGGACCGTCGATGTCGCTGCGTACAAATGCGTTGGGTACGTCACGTTGATGATGGTTGCCAGGTAGGGGTAGTAAAATCAACCCACTTGACAAGGTATTCCTTTTGAGCGTTCTTGCCTTGACCACGACGTTTACTGAGGATGTGTTCGATGGCGAAGGACTCTGAGGAAAGGGAAACGTCTTCTAGAATGTCGAGAAGAGCAGGATCCTGACAAAGGTGTTCATGGAGGCCAATAGATTTGTCGAAACAAACATAACGGGAGGCTGCGGCAAGGTCTTGCGCTGGATCCCATATGCCATAACCTTTGGTACCTTGTTGGTGTGGGTAGTCGACAAGATATGTCCTTGTCGAGCGGTGGGCCATCTGTGAAAGTGATCGATTATTCCCTGAGACAGGTCCTAAATCGGGTCGTTCGCGGGTGGAGATGATCTGCTCGTGGAGAGTGCAAGGTAAAAGGGAGAGACCAACTAAATCCCTATTCTCACCAAACAAGTAGACACGCTTGGGCGTACTCCGTATATTGGCAACCCCGGACTGCTAGGCGTAGGTACGCTAGTCAGTTGGGTCAAATGGGCACTTATGGTACAAACTTAGGGTCTAGTCTATAGCCGGTAAGATGCTCCTCGGGCAATCTACGCAAGTGTCGTCCTTTTTATAGTGGGGGGGAAGGGGGGTGCCTCTATCCTACTACTGATCACGCTTGGTCACGCGCGCACAAATACTACTCTTACCTTGAATCTCCCCATCGCCTCGTACGCCGTCAACCTGATCACTTTCACATCCTCCCCTTTTGAGCTTTCCTCTAGGAGGGGTGCTTAAAAGGGTTCCGCCGTGGTACTCCCTGTACTTTGCAGAAACTAGCCTGTTGCACCATGTCGCCATGGTGTGCTAGCCTCCGGGAACCTCCGCTACTTGGGCGGATGTGTTGGTGAAGTGGTGTTTGTTGTTTGAGGTCGTGGGGTGTCGTAGGTTTGATCAATCAGCGCGCGCTGGATGGATCAGCGCGGGATGGTCCGGCACCAGATAGTCTTGTCGTCCCCGGAGTTGTGGTCTGGGTTGCTTCCTGACGAGCTTCTGTGCTGAGGATGCATACTTCGAGCCACCATCTGCGGAGTACTTTGTCGGTGGCGGACTCGGGGAGCGGGACGACGTGTTGGTACTTGAGGAGCTGTGTTGTTGAGGGCGTGACGTTAGCTCGGAGCGTAGGACGAGGTGGTTGCGGTGGTCAGGTCGCGGGAGTGGTAGGGATGTTGGCGACAATTGCGTCCAGGATGTCTTCAAGGGTGGCATGTTCGCTGGTGGCGAGGCTGGCGTGGGCTGTGCGGGCAGCCTCCTGCTGCTTGAGGCAAGCGATCGGAGCGAAGTCGTCGACGCCTACCGTGTAACAGGACATCATGCTTCGTCTATCCTCGTTAAATTGGTCTGGGTTACCGATTGCGTTGCCGCTGGCGATGGAAGCGTGGCTGATGCAGATGTCTGGCGAGTCCTGCAGGCTCGTCTTGAGGGTCTCGAGCTGACTTTGAGGGTCAAAGTTTACGTCTGCCTTGGGGCGCTGGGCAATGTTGAGCCCCCGGGTAGGCCATGAGCCGCCCCGGTACTTCGCCCAGGATTCCCAAAGTTTCTTCCGGCTATGGGCGTGCAGGACATCCCAAGGCGTCGTGGTGGGCTGACTGAAACGCCAGGTGTTGGTCCAGCTCCGTCCGGCCAGTGGTCCCCAGTCCAGCACTGTGTGTTCGACTAGCTGGGTGCGGACCAAGGTAATCGTGCCTGAGGGTGTGTCAGCGCGGAGATGCAAATTGCGGAAGGGGAGGTCTCCGGCAGAGAAGCTTCCGTGGACGTATTGGACCGTGAACCCATGGTTGTTGGGGTTCACGTGGCAGTCTACGGCCACGTTGAAGTTGATGACCCACATAGTGCCTGGGGAGCCCGCAGGAATGTTGCGTTGACATTGAGCAGGGAGGTTGTCGATGACCTTCTGCCGTCGAGCATGGCTAGCGGGGTTGATCCATTCATGGCAAATAGCCATGCGCTTGTGGGCCGTGGCATTCTCCGCAAATTTCAGGTATTCCGCCCACCCACGGCCGTATCTCAAGTGCCGACTTTCTGCTGTAGGGTGAGGGAATTTGCCCTTGTTCATCTCTCCGCCAGAGGTTGTCGTGGTCCACACTCCTCCGTGGATTACCACCTGTGCGTCCGCTGCTGGATGCCCCCGTTGAGTTCTGAACCTCGGTGATCCTCCGTGTTTCGCTTCGCCCTCCGTGGTCCTCCATCCCTTCGGCTTGAGTGAACCGAGGTCGCCGGTGGCGAGCCATTTCAACGCCAGATTTGACCACAATTCGGACTCCACTCTTGGCACACCGAACGTCATCTCCTTGTCCTCCGGCTTGTCTTTGGGTTTGGGGCCAAAGCCCGCTACGATGATCTCGCGGCTTGTTTCAAGATCAATTCCTTTTCCCAGTCTCGCATGTGGTTGTGGGCTTTCGATCGCGAGGTCAGCACCGGGTGGGGGAAGAGGCCATGTCCACGGGTGTACATGGTGGATGGGACATCCATGTACTCCTTGTATAGGCTCGGGAGCATGACGGTTTCGATGTCCCTCCCCGAGACCCAGTACGGTCGGTCTTCCTCCATATCCCCCTCCCCTGTCTTCATCGCCAAGTCGGTCCTCCACTTGCAGTTCTCATGGTCGTAGGGCGCCAGATGCAGGCCCCTCTTCTTGCCAACGTTTGGGTGCTTGGTCGCAGTGATCTGGCCGTCGGTTTCCGCATTCTCCGGGAGGTCTTCTAGGCAAGGCGGGCGAATGAAGTTGTACTGGGCGAAGTAGTCCCTCAGGACTTCTTCGTCTTCCTGAGGGTGGGGCAGTCTCTGGTTGTTGAGGCATTCCGGGTGATAGAATTGGCTTCCACAGCAGAGGTCTCCGCGTTTGCATTGGACAACGCGACCATAAATGGAGGCGCTATCGTCCGGGTTTTCGCACATGCAGACAGCTCCGTTCTTCTCTGCTCCGTAGTACTCCTCTCCCTCTCCAGGCTGGTATTCCACGTCTCTCGTCAGGGTCTCGCTCGTGAACTCGTCCTCTTCCGGGTCTAGGCCGGAGACGTTGAGAGTGGCGGAGCCAATGATTGCTTCGCCTCTTCGTCGTTCTTTGGGCGTATCCAACACCTTCCTTCGCTTGCGGGTGTCGACCGGAGTGTTGCCAGCATTCCGCACGGTGATCCTGGGCGACTGGATTGGTGGGCGTTTGTTCCCCGTTGCCTTCACTGGGGCGGGAGTACGGGAGCCAGTGGCTTCTCTGAACCCTCTGTCGATCTGAGGGGGAGAGTCGTCAATTTCGATTGGTTCGTGGGGGTACACGGAGCGGACGGGGGTCCTGGGAACCGGCGAGTCCGTGCGTTGGTTCTTGGTCCTGGTCGTTGGTTGCAGGATAGGCGGCTTCGAGACCGCATTGGACAGGTCTGCGACGCTGGATCTTCTTGAGGAGGAGGTGGAGGATCTTCGAGACATGATGATCGGAGTTCTGGAAGTACCGGTTCGGGGTCGGTAGTGGGGAAGGGATAGCGTGGGAGCGTGCTGGGGAGCGGTAGTTGTCACGTCAGAGGAAACGTAGATGATATTGGGCCCTTCTGAGAGGGCTGAGAGCAGTGTATTGTGGTGAAGAAAAAAGTAAGAAGCTCTTCGCAGCGGCCGCTCGACTGACAGCTTGATATAGGGGCTGCCAGTGGGGCTTGCGTGGCTTCAGTGAGGCTTGGCGCCTTATGTAATGTATCACCGAGAGCTCGGGTGGCCAGCCCGGGTCTCGGATCAAGCAGAAGTAAAGAGATATAATATGTAATACAAGTGAAAATGAGATATCCCTGACACCTCCCTCAGATCCTGGGGAGGGCGCCGAAAAAATAAGAGGTGAACTACGAGGGATATGTGAAGAGAGGGAGAGCTCATGTTCATTTTAAAGTGTTGACGCACTTGTTCATTTTATAGTGTTGACGCACTGTGTGATGTGTGTGTTTGAGGCAAAGGCGTCCCTAAGCCGATGTCATGTGTGATGTGTGTATGTAAGGTCGGTTCTTGCGTTGCCGCGCGTGATGTGATGTAGCTTACGTTGCTAGTAAGCGGTGTGATTGATAGTGAGCGGTTCTTGCGGTGTCGCGCGTGTGATGTGATATGAGATGCTCTATGCTGTTCGTCTCCGTATCCACGGAGATTGTGGGTGAGCTTTTTGCCATTGTTTGTAGGCAGGCGTGTAGCGAAGTGCGGATTCGGGTTCCCAAGTAGGGTCAGGATAACCGAGCCATTTGACTAGAAGATTTCGTACGGCACGTCGCTCGTCGATGATATCTTCTACAACCCATTCAGGTTGTCTGCGTTCTTCGATTCGTGGAGGAGGTTGTGGAACTGCACGTTGCGGATATTGCTCTTCGCGATGTGGTCGTAAAATATCGACATGAAAGACGGGCCAAATGCCGCTGATCTTCGATGGTGATGAATCGAGTTTGTAGGTATCAGGATGTGCTCCCAGGGCGATGCTTTTGAATGGTCTGATCCACGTAATTGAGTATCGAAGTCCTCTTCGAGCGTCTACTTCTAGGTTGATTCCTTGTCGATTTAGATCGACCAGGTCGCCAATTTTGTATGCGATTGGCGTTCGACCTTTGTTGTGTTGACTTGCAAATTGATCTTGCGATCTCTAAAGGTTTCCGCGTACGATACGGGCGATGTCTTCCTGCCCTTTCTTGAAGAGTTCGATTTCGTTTCGATCTACAGCTCGAAGTTTGAGTTCTTGTCCTTTGAGTGTTGGATTCCAAACCCGGGAGAATTGGAGCGTCCGAGATCTACTTCGAAAGGTGATAAACCTTCATATTCCTCCCTTGGAGCTGTATTGTATGCGAATTCGATTAAAGGCAATAGTTTCTTCCAATTGCTTTGTCGTAGTTGTGGTATTGCTTCCAAATCCTTTTCAGGGTTTGGATGGCTTGCTCCACTTTGCCGTCGGTTTGTTGATGACGAGCAGTAGCGAATTCGTGTTTTACACCGAGGAGAATATCAAATGGGAGGAAGAAGTCGGAAAGCACGCGAGGTTAGCGATCCGTAACGAAGACTTTTGGCGTACCGACATGTTCCCATACATGATCTAGGAAGACTTGGGCTAATTTGCGTTGTAGTACTGCGCTTTGAACTGCACATGAAATCGATAATATTCTGACGCCGATTATACGCCTAGAATCTTCGACTAGCGAATGAAATCATCTTCATACAACAACGTCAAAATACCGTCAAAACTTCCGACAATAAATCGACATACTCGCATTCCCGGCACTCCGACGATTACCAAATACAACTACCTTTACTGAAACCTTGCTTCATAACGACGTTTTGTCCTCGGATACGACTGACATGCGAAAAATGTACGCGTAGGAGAGGATCTCACACATGAAAGCACCCCCGACCCGACTCTCAACCAACCAGAAGCTCCCACGACGCCCGAAACGCTGGAGAAATCATCTGCCAAACGAGAAAACCAATTTCCGGTGGCCATATACACCGAACGTTGCAGAAAACCCTGAGACAAGATTAGCGATAAGACCGTATCAGTGCCGAAATTGCGAATGGAAAAAGGAAAAACCATGTAGACCGCCGCAGGAAAAGAGAAAAAGACCCCGACATAGCTAAATCCTCTAGAGACAGCTAGTAGGGAATTTGGACTTCAACAAAAATCCCGTAGCCTAGAAAAATCCATAAAAAACCCCGACTGTTTTCCCCAGACCTTTGTACGATACGCAGACCACAGATCCCGATCAACAACAGAGCTTTCTACTTCTCTACTCCCGACGACTTCTTTCAGTTTCAGATAGACTTTCAAGGCGCGCTCATAGACCCGGAGAGCTTAGACAAGACGACCCCGAGTGTCGCAACTTGTACTTTGCTGACGTCACCGAGGACTTGATAGTTCAGGAATCTCGTAAGAAGAGCTGAGAGTGAGATTGGATAACCCCGTTGTTTTGTTTTGTAGTCAACCCCGCAGATATTCCCGATTTCATATTTTCGTACCCGTACCCGTAATTCCCGACCCCGTATTAGAAGAAGGATTCCTTTCAAAGCACCTGGATATTAAGGTCGCAAGACGACGCTTTCGTTTGAGATCTCTTCTTGTGCTATTGAGAGACCGGCAGCTTATTTCTCCCAACACCCAACCGTAACCCCGTATTTGACAGACCCTCGCTTCTGCCGGCCACCACCACATTTACTGGCGATCCTACCAGGAGTCCTTTTCTTCGACGAAAAGAGATTCTATGGCTCAGACTTCCCTTCGACCCGCTCATCCGTATAGACTTTGTACCTACCGTACAATAAAAACCGACGAAAAACGATACGCTAGTTATTCGGCTCGCTATCTACCAAAAACAGCTGCCTCTCGACAGCTCGACAGCACGTCTCCGCCCGACTTTTCGACAGCCTACCCCTTGTGTTGACACGCAAAAGCTCGTTTTCACACGTGCATTCTGCTGCGCCACTCTTTGACGTCAGCGCTTTTGTACTCCGACAAACGACTCGTTTTTAGAGACGATCTTTGACCGTCTATTTTAGACACCTTTGCATTTTTCGAGTACTAGCTACTTTCTCGACAAAATGGCAGACGCTAATGCACCGACGAATAACCCAAATCCAGACCCGAATCCTGATCCTAACCCGGACCCAAGCAATCCGCCTAACCCGCCTCCCAACTACGGGGCGAACAACGCGATGTTCACTGTGACTGCCGACCAGTTCGCTATGCTACTTCGAGTTGCTAGTTCAAAAGGTTTACCTATGATGGGACAACCTGGAGCTATAGAGTTTGATGGACGAGATGTACAAGAGAAAATCGACCTATTCTATGCTCAACTTAACGACGCTGGATATGAACCTGAAGCCGAGTACCCCAGCATCATCCTGAACCCTTCGCACACTACACTTTGCAGTCCGTACAACCCGCAAGATCCTGCTATTGCTAATCAGGAGGAATGACAAATCGTGGAATTGAGACACAAACGATGTATGCAGACATTCATCCAGTATTCCAAACCGAGTATTCGAGTGCTACTTCGTAGTATGCCTAGTTTCCAATCGCTCGACATAACCGAATATACTCGATGGAGAGAAGAACCAACCTGGGCGATGTTTACTGAAGAAGTGATATTGCACTTTGATGCGTTTCAAACTCGCCATACTTTCAACGACCTCGAACAATGGGCTCTCAGTTAACGAGACCATGTCAAACGGAACATTGCCAACGTTGCAGAATTTATCAACGAAATGGCCTATCGATATGCAAGAATCGATGGGGTCGCCGACAAAGAAAAGATCAATCTGCTTCTGACCCCGTGGAAAGACGAACCCGGCTTCAACAAACGAGTTCTCCAACGAGCTCGACGACTCGCTGCTGAACGTGGACCCATTTGCGACCGACTCAGTTACCCTCCGTTAGCCGAATTATGGAAGCCCTCACCAGAGCAGTCAATGAAGATGCCGCGCTATCTCAACTTACAACAGTTATCAAGCAACCCGATTCCGACGTGCGGTCTATGACCGTTCAGAAACCGATTCTTACGATCCCCGGTATTGCCAACCCAACTGCTAGCGACCAGCTGAACTTCGTACAAGGACAAGTATTGCAGACCGAGAGCAAACTTGACCGAGCAGTACGTGAAATGACCGAACGAATGGCACAGCTGTAGACTAGCCAGAACCAAATCCTGCAGAGCTTGACTCCTGCAACCCGACTTCCGCCTGCGAACGATTCGCAAGGCACTAGCTCAACAAATACCGGCAATGCAGATGTTCGACCCCTGCGATGCGTTTATTGCGATCAGGGAGGACACCGGCGCAGATTTTGCAGAGACTTTTCTGAGGTTCAGAACCGAGGAGAGTTAGTTATTAACGGACAAGGACGAATTGCGTACCCTGACAATACGACCATTGGAGTACCCGGACAGGAAATCCCTTTGAACATCGGACAAGGAGGAATCAAGAAAGTTTTTGAAGATGCCAAAGCTGCCGTGCTCCGCAACTGCAACACTTGCGCCAATCAGAGATCCTACAGTCATTCAATCAATTCGTTTATGCTGCGAAATGATGACAAGAAAAAGACCCGCAAAGTATCCGAACGCTCATTGGAAATTCGAGATTATCTTGAAGAACATGCCGAAGATTTGACCTATACAATTCGGAACATTACGAACTGGGACGACCCCATTCATTTCGATACGACTATTGCCCAAGCCCGCGATTCGAAACGACCTGCTGTTGCTGATCCAGCTGACAGAAACCGACCCCGAAGTGGACAAGCACCCGCCAGAGCTGGAACCGATACGGAAGATGCAGACGACACCGTCCGAAAGAGAAAATTACCTACCCGAGCCAACGGAGAAAGATTCGCTGGAAGAGATATCCCGAAACCAGGAGAGAAAAAGAAACGCCGTCCGATTGGAGACCGGCCAATTGACGATCGACCTGTTACGCCGATGGAG